TTCGAAACGTCCACTTGTTTTACTGACCGCACGTCCGTGGACACAAACCGTTTTGGTGAGTACCACGCTGCACCTTTCTCGCTCTGTCTGATACGCTTCTTATGCATGTAGCCTGCATAATCTACGTTTGGTTCAGTCGCCTCCGACTTCTATACTGTCGTATTTGACACGACTTACGTGGCATTGCCTACCGACTAGTATCCCAGGCTCCGCCCAAACATCTGGATTCAGTCACATAATGGTCCACTTGGCCTCAATCTGCTTATTGGATGTATATATACCCCTACCTTTAACTAAAACCAGTGTGGACGAACTTGTTGAGTGCTGTACCCATGTGTCCGAACTGCCCTTCAGAATTATAACAGTAAAGAATTTCAACAAGCCAAACATCTACTGGCCCCAGGGTAATGCTTCATCAAAAATAGTTCTATGCAAAAGTGGATCCATGGTATCTGATTTTATGTATGAAAATTTGGGTACATACAATAACTAACCTAACTTGTTTTCACCCACAGGCCAATACCAAACAGAGCCGGATAAAAGCTTGAAAATTACGGGGGCCGTAAACGTGAATCTCGCAACAATCCGTGGTGTTTTGGTACTGGTGCTTAGACCAGCAGGTTACTCTGGGGTGCGACAGTAACTCATACTCCTGGTTGCTGCCTGTACGTTGGGTGGACACATTTTGTTAAGGCTAGACGAATGCTTGCCGGTAGACTTGGTGAGGGAGGTTGAGCCCAAATCGAACTGGTTGCTTCCGTGGGCGCGGAGCTGTGGAAAGCAACTTTATTCTAGGTAATACACGTGCGTGTGAGTAAACACTGACGGCCCGGACAAACACGCACATATACATGCACACAGAAAACAGACTTTAACCACAAACGTCAAGTTCAATGTTTTGGGGTCGGATATCCACCAACTGCACTCCAGCAGCACACCGTGTTACCAGAATTAACGAGCCACCCGGATACAACTAAATGGTACGCCTTAAAGAGTCAAACTTATGGAGGTTGGATTATTACATACTGTCAAAGCCCAAGTGGTTAACTTACACAGGTATGGTTCCATAGGGTTTACATATTGACCGTTCAAGCTATGATAAAGTAGTCACCATATAGAGGTTGTCAACTTTAGAAATTTGCTCTAAGCGTACATACAATTCCAACCCTAAAGTAAGTAATCCGCCTCCTCCTTGGTCGACGTTTAAACTTTGGTGCTGCAGGTACTTGTACTAATATTCATCGCAGTCCCGGGGTCTTTGGCTTGATAACCGGCACGAAAAAACAGGAGGCTTGCTAGGCAAAGACCTATTTCGTTCCTATTCTCATCTGACCCATGGTTTATTGGTTTTTGTATGTGGTAAACCAACCATAATTGCTTAGCCTTTTGCTATCGTGCATGCAAAGGCGTGCGTCGAAATTTTCGATGAGTAATTTTTTTACTGTTTCAAATCTAATTAGTCTGTTGGTTTGAGAACACTTCTAAGGTTGTGCATTACATATTCAAAAATTAAATAAACTATCATAAATAATAGCCAAGAAAATGCACTAAGAGCGTTTGCGAAGTTTTGAACCTTAGGGGTTGAAGGAGCAATTTGTTTTAAGCTTTAAACATCAATTACCTTTTGTCGGCGGCTATGTTGTTTCTCCTTTGGTTGCAGTAATTCATTATGAGTTTATTTTACTGCGCCATTGCGAATGAAAAGTGTATAGTCTGCGACTGCTCAATAGCTAACCGAGAATTTTCATCTGTAGTCCAAAGCTTGTTGTTCCGCAATGTTGCTGACGGTCATCTGTTTTTTTCGGAGCAGGGGTAATTTTTCTCTCATATGTATAACCAAATGGATCTTCAGTGTCGGGGTCCACGCACTCAAGAGCACGGGGATTCTTTTTGTCGCTGTGACTGAATTGCAGGCATCTAGGCAACAATGTGTTCAGTTTATCACTGACGTGAGTTTTTTTTATAAATCCTGAATGCTGAAAAGCTGTTTCAGACATATAGATTATTAACAATAACTGCGCATGACTTTTAGAACCTATTTCTTTACTTAGTATTCACCAGTTAGTTTTATCAGTTTTGCTGTTAACTTCTGTTGCTTCCAGCTGTTTGGTTCTCGCTTATATCAACCTGGTTGAATAATGTAGCCAAAGCGTTAGAGGTTCACCTCGTCCTTGTTACTTACATTCGTAATATGTAAATCTTTTTAGGACATTTCGGGCCCTTCATACATCTAATGGTATTAGCAGAGAACGTTGGTTTTGGTGAGACGTTTGTAATCTATATAAGTATAGCAAAATTGTATATTGCAAATCTTTGTTTGAATTCCGTCTTATATGCATATTTTGTTCTAATCTAAAGAGTTAATCTAGTGTTTGATCACTGGCACAATTCCTCTCATAGTATTATCAATTTCCACGAAAGCGTGGCTATAGCTGCTCCTCACTATCCCTACTGAAATTTAAGCCCAAGTTCGCGTGTTGTTAAAGTCACTAGGTACCTGATTTGCTGGTTTTCCTTCTAATCCCGTGCAAATAAAGAGGCGATCACATGCATTCAATATATTGACTAGTAGAAAGCAGATGGAATAATCCTTCTCAGCTTCATCACTTCCCGATCATTGCGAGATAGATGCGTGTTATGAGGAAAAGAAATTTTACAGTGCATACATTTATACGGATAACAGTATGATACAGGCATAATAAGTACGTGTAAATCTAACAGATTCCTGAAGCATTACTTAGTAGATGCACTGACTACAGCCTCCGGTAAGTTGTTCCAGTCGTCCACTGGATAAAGTGGTAACCCAGCGTATAACTACGAAATGTAGTATCTGTACCAGTTGCGCCTAGCTTTTTTCTGCTTGAAAGCTTTTTAGTAGAACTGCATACTTTAGGTTTTTACGTTACTGGTCTTTCTATAATGTTTGATGTGTATGCTCAGAAGTACTCATAGCGCTGTTCATTAGTACCGGGTTTGAACAGTTATCAGTTTATTTGTATCTCAACAAACTTATCATGCTTGATTGGTTTGGTTTAGAAACGCCATGTGGACTTCTTTGAAGTGTTGGTTCGGTCGGGCTTTGAATGCATTTTGGCACTGTGTAAGCTTTGTTCGGTACTTTGTTCGTTACCGATGGCTGGTTATTTAAAAGACGGAGTGATTACCAAAACCACTCGATATCACTCCTTCACACCTCGGCTGCCCATTATGGTTGAACCGCTGAAACAATGACTCGGTACTTCCTTTATTTGGGACTAATTGAACTCATACCCTTCTTGACGATGCAATTACATATGTGTTGGGATTAACCACACGGTCCGTGTCTCGCACTATCAAGATATAAATTATTCATTTATTTCTTACTTATGATTACCTTTGTTCACTCCTACTGTAATGTTAAATGTTACTTCTCCGGTCCTGGGGGCGACTGTCCAGGAAGAGAGGACAAGTCTCATTGCTCAGTGATTTCAATTCTTGTACTTTTCGAACGTATGCGAATGGTGCTGGATCTGAAAAGTATTTTTAGTACCGTCAAGCATATCAATACTTCGAGCAGTCACCCGTTTTTGACACTTCCTCTGAACAATTTGGTCGATCGATCTTTCTTGTGCACATATTGTATATTCTTTACTTTGTTTTGGCCACGACTGTGTCAATCTCCTGAGGTGACGGTTTTAATCTTCCAACCTTAATAATTATACCCATGCAAGGAGCATCGCCATTGGTTTCCTGGAGGTGAAAATGTGCTTTACTCAAAAAACCAGCTGATGGTACGGTCTAGGTGGCCGGACCGTCCAAGCTATTTACACGAAAACAGCTCTAACTATGAGATACATAAACGATGGCTTATTGCTTTAAAATCCCCACCGGAACACGACCAGATGGGGTATGAAAGTGCGGGTGAGATCCATCGAAAGACTAACCCGCATGGAAGTGGGTCCCAAGGAGACGGTTCCATGGATGAACGTATTATTTCACTTATACTTTTTACTTACCGACGCTTATTATTTTTCAAAACCTCACAATCTTCTCAAAGATTTAACCGATCAATCAGCCGTGTCCGTTAAAAAGCTGGATGACTGCTTTGGAAAATATGAAAAAGCTAACATCTGCTCCTTGCGATTCTGCCGAACACCAAGAATCGTAATATCCAGTTGGACTTTACCTCACACCAACGAGGAACATACCGTTGTACTTTCTTCACCGCAATTTCAAGTCGCTACTGCAAGAGCTTAATATTACCTGTACATGTTTGATCTGTGCCAAACATGGACGCAGATTCTCACCTAAATAGAATTATACGCATTATTATTAACAGGGGCTTTGATGCTCGCTTGGTTTACTACAGCATACTGCATAGTGAGTAGAGGAACAATAGCTGGCGCGTACCCTGAAAATGACTGACGCTAGGTACAGGTTATACGTCTCCACATAACAACCGACCTAAAAGTTCTCAATGTTTCTATTGTCAGTGAGATTTGCGGTTTACATATGATGCATGAACACAATATATTGAACTATAAAACATACACAGAAATATCCGAACCTAGTCATTACACCGTACTCTAGTTCTTTTACCTCTTTAATAATATATGAAAACAGTTACTGGACTGAGGAAAGCAGGCCACTAGGGTACGCTATTTTGGAATGTGCTGCGTGGCATGCACCGGGATGGTTTAGTTGAACTGAAAAGTGGGACGACTAGCGGCACTTATTCTATTGACTGCCTTAATCCTTTACTATTGCCGGTTGAGTAGTCCTAAACTCATATACCATCTCTATCCTAGAACTGACAAGGAACATAGTTTTGTTTGTAATCCGGTGCATTTTAGCGTGCTCTATTATACAAGATTATACGTTTTCATTCTTGTAGCAGCTGCTTGTTCTTTGAGGTTACCGAAATGCTAAACAATAATTCTCAAAGCGCTGTACAAAATCTGTGCCGCTGCAACCATTGCTTCCAAACCAAAAAATGGCATAACACTAATTGGATTCTAAGTTGTCTCACTTACGCCGGTTTCATCGCTTTCGTTTATGTTTTTCGCATTTTGTTGATCATACGCTAAGGCATGAACTTGAATTTAGCAATGTACTATCATTTATGCTTCCACCGACTCGCTGAAGAACAGGTTGTTTGCCAATTAACACTAAGGCTCACAAATAGAAACAAGGTATTGTTCTATGCACCATTCCAACAGCTGGTGTCGCAACTATGAATCGTTTTAATTTTAGTCATCTTGGTTCGGAAGTATAATCCTTAAATATGGACCACATAAGCCTAGTCTAATCCTAAACGTATGCATGTTATTATGGAAAATTTTACACCTGTTAAGCAGTACTGCTGAGAAATGCTGGTTTACATCGGCGGTTTATGAAGGCATTAAATTCTTTTATTCATGTTTTGCTTTAAGTAATGATCACTTTAGCCGGTAGTTTGGTGTGCACTCAGTTAAAGTAATCAAACACCACACTGGCTTTTATGCACAATACGTTTGAAGTTGCACCTAGATCTACAAAACTTGACAACATTACTACCTTGTTTGCGAGACACAAGTGGACAATGTAAGGCGCCATTATGTAATTTTGTTTTCATATAGAAACTAAAATAGCCCTATTCTTGAACGAAAAAGAATTGAGGTAAACGGTTTGTAACATAAGTGGGCAGTGGCAACACTTTGCTTCCCTGCAGACGTATATGGGCCGCTAGCGGTCCAATTTTGGCGTGTGTAGAAAAGACAAGACGGAAATAAAGAAATAGCGTAATGTATCTGAACGCAACATTAAATACTATAATGCGTCGCGAACATTACCAGTCTATACTTATAAATTGTTAGTTTTTAATAAAATTGTGCATTTTGCAAGGACGAGTGACCGATAGACTACACATGAGTTGGCGTCTTTTGTGCCCTTGGGCGTCTCAGCTGGGCACATTTGGGGAGAGTTATGGTCACTCAAAGTAAGCTTTGTTGCAACACTACATCTACTATAACATCTTGTGACGATTGGAGGTCGATTTCTTCTACGTAGTGTTGGTATTTTAACCAAAAATAATGCATGCGCCGCATACGTTCCATATGCTCTGGAGAGGTTTTTCTGTGTGACCGAAATTCCTCTTAATCGCGCCTCTTTAGGATGGCCAGGGGCATAAAAAGCGGTCACTCAATGCATTCTAACGGCAAATCCGTGGGACATTTTTCTTTCACTAGGGCTATGCGAGTTGCCTTAATGCTCCTCTTGTTATCTTCACGCAAGTTATGATGGTTGACCATTTCCTAACCCCTTAGTCCTTGACTCCTCAATAAATAACCACGTTTCTTATTTTGGGAATCATGCGAACCCCACCACGTTTTCTACGGTAGTTACTCCCTGTACGACTCAAGCAGATGTTTGTGCTGTTTGCCGTTTTAAAAATACTGCAATCTTTACTGCACTTCTTACTGCAAGGTGGTTGTGACATTTTGATGTATTTTTAATTGGGCACGCTTAGTATTGCAAGATGTGCGTGTTGCTCGGCTTTGCAAATACGCCTTACGAAGATGACGTTGCTAACGGTATCAAATTACTGTTCTGTTTAGCATTTTTACCACAAAAACACTACGGCCGGTTGGCTTTTGTAATTGCGGCAATACGCCATAGTTGGAACAGTATCTTTTCAATACTGAAGATCCACTAGCATGGACAATGGTTTTGTGATTATTATTGTTATTATTGTTCTAATTATAATAAGTATATTTATTTTGATGAGAGCCACTGTGTCCATGGCGGCACAGGACAATTTGTACCGAAGAATCCATGCTCTTGCATGGGAACATGCATTGGTGGAGTATTGGGATATACGTTTCGTGTATTAAAGTTTTGGCGGATGGTTGAGGCCAAAGCCTAGTTATGAAAACAGTGGTGTTTAAATGTTTTTGGGCCCCTCTTGGAATAGCTCATCGAGGGATTTTTCCCATGTGCTTTTAGAGCTTAAGGTAGTTAGAGCAAGGTAATTGGCGAGTCTGCTACTAAATGTTGCCACATTATCACATGACCTGAGTGTTGTTGGTAGTTTCTTTCACAGATACCTATATCTGACCAAGAAGAAATTAGAGCGGACGTTTATTCTAGCCTTCGATATATTCAATGTAAAATCTTTGTTGCGAAGAGCTCAATTCTAGCAATGTGTAAATTGAGTGTAGACAGTTTGGAATAGACCTTTTTGTGTAACTTGCTGAAAAGCAGCAACGAGTTGTACTTCAATCATCGAATCCAAATTGATTCGAGATGAAGTTCATTGCAACGTCCTCGATAAGTCATAGCAATGTGTTTACCAATCAGATATTTAGTAAATGACCTCTGCAGGTTCTCCACAACAATTCCGTCACTCCTTCTCCTATTTCCGTATATTGGGCTTCAGTATTCGAGAATGGGGCGAATGAGTAGCTTGAAAAACATAACGCTAGCCCGAGATGTGTGCATTTTGTTGGATATATTAAACATAGACGGTCTGGCTCGTGCTACTTGGTATTGGGCCTGTTCGGAGCAATTTAAGGTGGACGAGTACCTAATGCCGAGATCTCGCGTGGACAACTGTGTAGTGACGCGTTCTTTGTTTAGGGTGATAGATCCATCGGGGATGCAGCAGCCGTAAGGCATTGTGCTTGATTTCTTAGCCGAGAGGTTCTTCACCCATGTGCAGCACCACGAAGCAAGGGAATGTAAATCATCTTAAACGAGCGGTAATGTCCCGTGAAGCTCATCACGCCGAAACTTATAGATTTGTTTGATATCCCCAGCAAATAACTATGATGTACCATGTTTTACAGATGGGGTGATGTCATTGATTGAGAGCAAAAAGATAAGGGGCTGAGCAAGCTCACATAAACGACTCCACTGGTGATTTAGCGTAGGGAAGAGCCATACTCACCTAAATTGACTACCTGGTGACGATCACTCCGGTATGACGATAGCTAACCTAGTAATGGGTCCCGGATCCCAAACTTCTCCAACTTTTGTAGCAGTCGCTTGTGCGGTACTCGCTTGAATGCTTGGTGTATGTCAAGAAACAAGATTACTATTGCATAGCCGGAATCGACTGATTCTGACAGGCGATTAAGATAATGCAGTTGACAGCTGGTGCACGATCGCTTATTGGGAAAACCATGCTGCATCTTGTTGATCAAGCCAGTAGAATCAACAAAGTTCATCATCACTATTCTGACCAGTTTTGCAAATAACCGAGCGATTATCGGAGTGTGGTGGCTTGGTCGGTAGTTATCAATCGTTTGCTTGGAACCTCTTTTATGCCGAGGCATAATAAATGACGTTTTCCTATTGGTCTGAAAAGTGACCAGATTCCAGCGATAGAGTGAACATGCTCATCAGTAGCAATGGTATATCAGGTCTTCTTAGTTTGTTGGTGTTTGGTGAAATGCCATCAGATCCGAGCTTGGAAGATGGCCTGATTGATCTGATAACTTGATGGATAGCGGCGAGCGAGACATCAACTTTGCTTAAGAAGTTTGTTTCTGTGGGCTCTGTGCACACAGACACCCGAGTCAACTTCGCCACTCATAGTAGTGGCAAAAAGGTCGCTGAATGCTTCACAGCTTTCAGCTGGGTCATGGAGTAAAGAACCTTCACTATCAACAGTTTCGGTACTCAGAGGAGAGCTGTCACTGGCTTTACGATGCAGTGTCTTGCCAAGCTCCCTAGCTTTGCAGCTTGTCCGCAGGGCTGTATGTACTTCATTTTTTCGTCGTGTTAATTGCGCGTGTTTGACTCTGGTGGTTAACTGATGCATTTGTAAGATAAGTAAATAGTTATGGGTCCTTCTGTATTTTGCAGCTAACATTTTGGTTTTCTTGCTGCCTAAGTGCTCTACGGAATCTTTGGAGACATGAGGGTATGAATACATTGTGGAGTAAGGAGGGCTATGGCGTGATGGATTTGTTTATATAACTACTACACAGCGGTATACACACTGGTAGAGAGGAAAAATACATCCCAGTCGGAGAAACGAATGAACTGCTGGAAGCATTCCCAGTTTATCTTATGGGTTGCAACCGGCATTCTAGGGGCAAGTTTAGTGACCAATTTAATTTGGAAGTTGAGTCGGATCATGTTTTGGTCGCTGCTAGGGAGATTGTTTAAGATCTCGGTCTGTGGATTGGGTATCCTCAAAGTGAATATTAAGTCCAGTACATTGGTGGACCTGGTTGGGCTGATAATCCATTGTGTCCAGCCCCCAG